CAGCTGAACTGGGATGAGGATGAAGTCGTCACATATCTCTTAAGAGCTGCATTTTGGCAGGGGATTGGAGAGTTGGAGCGTGGCATTTAAGCGCAGTCTTCTTCTCCCAGCTTACTTCTGAAGTGGGGGGAAAAAAGCAACCTTAGTGAAAAGTGGTTGAAGGGCAGTGAAAATTCATGGTCATCCAAGGGTGCTGTGCGTCTGTAGGGACTGACATCTCTGAGACACTTCTGTGTGTCTGGAATCGTTAGAAACCCAGAAGTGACGAACGCACCCCCAGTGGGAAGAGCACGTAGGAGATTCGGTGTTACTTCTCCCTTCTCAAATACTCCAGTCCAGTGTGGAGATGCCTGAGAAGCTTTCCAGGTGGTGGCCCACAGGGAGACCGCATAGAGGGAAGGTTTGGACTGTAAGAAGGAAGACAAGGTCTCAGAATCAAGAGCAAGAGCCCCGTTGAAGTACAGCTGCTCGCCTGAGGTGGAGTGGGTCAGCTGGGTCTCGGGAGTCTCGCCCTCCCCAACCACCCCGCCCGTCTCACTTCTCAGACACTGAGGGCCATGGGAATTGGAAGATTTTTTTTTTCCTGAGGAATCTAGACAGCCCAAGATGAAAGTACATTGTTAGAGGAAATGGCCCCAGGGAAAGTAAGCAGCCAGATGGCTCTGTTCTCAAGACGTGGGTCACAGGCTGCAACTGCAAGCACTGGACTGCTATCCCGCTTCAGTACGCGAGTGACTCGTTAAACAAGAGTCAAGTTTGGAGAGACGGCCATGAGCACAGAGAATAAAAGAGATGGGGGGGCGGGGATAAGAAGTTATTAAAAGCTATTATTGTTGGTCCCTCAGAGATGGAGGGCCCACAGCAGACAAAGAAGTCTGTATCTCCTTTTTTTTTTAAGTTTTTAATTTTATGTTTATGGGTGTTTTGCCTGCATGCATGTCTGTGCACAAATATGTCTGGTACCCACAGAGACCAGAAGAGAGTGTTGGATCCCTGGAAACGGAGTTACAGTTTTAATAGACATGCCACACCTATGCTGGAATTGAAGACAAGGCCATAGACAAATGGAGGAGCACGTGGGATCAGCATGTCTACAGTAGCTGTATCCTCCCTGAACCTGTCTGAGGAGGCCTCCATGCTTTCACTCTGTTTGCAAACTACATCCAGCTTTCCTAAAGAGAACTCTAAGTGTCTCCCTGTCTAGAGGTTGGGAGATCATGAAAAGAGAGTGGTCCCCTTCTTTGAGTCACTTCTCTTGAGGCAGTCACATTGAACTCAACGGCTGATCACAGATGCAGAGAGAGCACAGACCCAAGGACCTGCAGGGCTGAGCCAGTCCAGTTCCCCAACATGGAGAACCATGGCCGAAACAAGGTGCTTGTAGATTCTGTAGAGTGTCAACAAAGTGTTGTGGAGGTTCTCATATAAAGAGGGGGTGTTTATAACTTAATTAGTGAAAATCAATATAGTAAAAGAGGATAATTTTTTCAGTGAAGACTCACTAATAGAAGGAGTAAGATTTCCTTCTCAGCAGCATTTTGCTTACTGATAATATGGGGTTCATCGTCCCATCATCTGAGTTGCTAGTACCTCATATCCCGAAAGCTTATAAATTAATGGGTTGTAATGGTTGGCATGTCTAGAACCTCCTATATTCTCTGATTTCCTTTTGTCATTCACTATAGTACAGAATAATTACTTCAAAGGCAAGATGGCCTCAAAGGTTGTTGCACAGCACATGGATTTTGAAGTACAAACTTCTCCTTGTACTCCATCGGGGTCTAGATTATAGATTGTAGAAAAAAAACCCTCTGGAACCACAGTTTAATCTTTAGGTTTATGCAGAAATGGAAGTATAATGACACACAGGGACGTAAGTACACAAAATGCCCGTGACTCTACTGTTTGTGCACTGCTGACTCTAGTGGGCAGGTGAGACGTTTTATTACACGGTGACAATTTCACTTTGACTTACTTGGTTTGGTGATAGGGAAAGTGAACCGGGGCCGTGTACCTACCCGACAAATGCTCCACCATCGGCCGCCCCCACGGCTCTTTTTCTTATTCTAAGGCAAGGTTTCACCACACTTTTCAGATGGGCCTTGAATTTGCTCTGTAGCCTAGGCCGACCTTGAGCCTGGTTCCCCTTGCCTGAGACACCCAAGTATCTGTTGCTTTTATTTTTCATAGATTCATAAAACTCCACATGTAATTTATAGTGGGCTCTACTGTCTCGGTACATGTATAGACTGTGTGTTAAATCAAGGTATATGACATACTCCTCACATATTTTACATTTGTCATTACTGTTTTGAAAGATTCAAAAATGCTATGTTGTTTGTGGTCATCCCACTGTGCCATAGGACACCAGAACTCTCTTTCCTTGAAAACAGCTTTGTATGCATCCGCCAGTCTCTTCCTATACCCATCAATTGTGTGTGTGTGTGTGTGTATGTGTGTGTGTGTGTATACGTATGTATACAGCTAATCTCAGGAATTGTGAAAAGAAACAGTAGTTCACTAATTTGGAGGCTGAAAGTCCAGGAGAGGTGGTGTTGTCATTTGTTTCCTTGCTTCCCTGGCTGTGTCACTCCAGGCTTGTGGCAGAACAATAGGAATTATGTAAAAAACAAAGCACATGGGGAGACGGGAAGTGAGGAGTTCAGAGACTGGGCCTGCAGGAGCTAGCACAACCCACTAGAACAAGACTAGACCCTTCTAGAATTCCCCAGTGATGCAGGTACCTCCATCAGGCCCCACCCACTAATGCAGCAGCAGCGACTAAGTCTCCCCTGCACGAGCACTGTGTGTTCCAAACCTTGCACACCCAGCTTCCGTTAGCACATATTACCCTCGTCACTCCACCTACCACACTGAAACATGCGTGTTTCTGTGTATCCAGAGAGCGAAAATCTAACTTCAGGCAAATGCGTTGCCTGCATTCCTAACTTGGCTGGGTGTGGACACAGCCTGGCCCTTGTCCACAGGAAAGGGAATGATAAATCACCCACACTTTTCCTCTCTGTGTGGATAATTAAGAGTGAGTTTGAAGAGTGTTGTGGGGAAGAGCAGGAAGATGCTGACTTTAGGGAGAGGCTAGGATGACTGTGGGGAATTGTCCAAGCCTGCGTTTGCCAACCCACACAGCAGGAATGGAAGCCAGTGCACTAGGTTACTGGGAGCCCTGGGCCAGGTCACTAATGTGTGGCTTGAGCATTCAGGGTCTTTGATGTCTGCCTGGCTTTTCCTCTTCCCCTCTTCTGCCTCTCCCACAAGAACTGTCAGACAAATTGATTCCTAACAAGCATCCGGTGTCCAGCAAGCACATCTCAGGCCACACCCTGGCTTCCCTTAGAAGAAGACATGAGACATTTTTCCTAGCAACTCCTAAAAGTAGGGTCAGCACCACCCATTGGCTCTGGTATATTTTGAAACCTCTGTTACCTTACTGTTGTTTCTGTTTCTCTCTGTCTATGTCCTGTGTGTGTGTGGGGGGGGGTAAATTACTGCTCATCAAGAGAAGGAGATAGATGGTTCCAGCATCTGGAACTGTGTTTTACACATCCTACTGGATACCTAGCGGATAATTTGACAAATGGATACAAGAGCAGAAGGCGGCTGACCACAGATGAGAGCTCTGTGGCATCTGAAAACTGATCCTTGCCTCTTCCTAATACTCATTAAAAATTCCCTTTCTATGCCTTCCTGCAACCCTGTGTAACTTTTAAAATAATAAGTACACTTAGTATGCATAGAAATAAAAAACGAAGCATGCATTTACTCCAGAAGCTTAACCGCATGATAAATGTGGTTTACTAAGTAATAACTGGTAAAAATAAGTCATCGTGTAACTGTATAAAGGAATACAAATCATACTCTGAAAGAATATAAGAGCCTAAGGACATATTCAGAGCATGTCTCGGTTGAAAACCTGCAGAGAGAGAAAATATCCCATACAGTGTGAGCGTATCTCTTGGTGTCCAGTTTCTTCCTCCCCTGCCTCTTATTCTGTGTGCATGCTTGCATGTTTACATATTTGAATGTTTATAGGTTTCCATGCATGTTACACATGTGCATGTATACCACTGTATGCCCATACTTTCCTACATCCTACAAAATTTCTACAGTAAACAGATTGTTCTATATTTCTGGGCCATACATACATGTCTAAACTGATTGAGGAAAAACTGAGAGGAAACACGTATAGACCTTACAGCCAGAAGAGCCCTCAAGAATCAAAAACAAAGGGAATACTCGCTTACGGTGTTGCCCAATAGCAAAGGCCCGGCATCTGTGGATGGATGGATGCGGAGTAATTGTGGTTTGTAGCATTCATTTCAGTCAAGCACTATTATATTTATTTTTAATTTGAAATACAAGGGTAAAGTGCTATTTCTGCAGAAAATGTTGTTGCTTTCTGAGAAGTCTTTCTTGAAATACTACCTACGCACCCCCTTCCTGATCATCTGCTGTTCTGAAACCCCTTGGGTTTCTGATACCCAATTCAATAAGGCAGCGGGCTCCTCTTTCCCCCACTAGGGTTCTCATTTCAAACGGCAGCTAACAGGATGGAGTTTTACCTGGCATGTCCATCTCTCAGCATCTTGACCTGACATGAGGCCAAGGTGTCTACAAAACTTACTACCCAGAACACACTTGGTAACCGTTGTGGCAAAATCCAACGTGAGTGGAGCCACCGGAGCTGGAGATGTTCTTGGACGAGTAAACACCGAGTTTGTGTGGAGACAGGACAGGAAGGCAATCGGACGGAAACCAGGAGTCCAGTGTCTCATCACTTCCTTCAGTAAATGGCTAATCCCGTTTCTTCTCTCCCGAAGCCTCTGACAGTTACCGAATGCCGCCCCAGGGGTGCAGCCTTCCGCCCTAAAGATTGGCCTGGAAGGGAATGACCTGCACCCCGAAAAGCCCTCCAGTCACATAAGTGGCACAGGCATGCCTTTGCGTGTGCCGTACTGACCGAACTTTCCAACCCCAAACAGGAAGCTGTCAAAGCAGCCATCATAGAGGAGCAGAAGAGAAGCGAAAAGGCTATGGAGGCGGCCGTGAAGAAAACGAGGGACGAGCTGGTGGAGTACGTGAGGGAGCAGAGACGGGTGAGTGTCCCAGCAAATCCGTGCCCTGCGCCTCTGTGACAGCAGAAGCTCACACACCTGATGTGGGGTCGAGATACTGAAACACTGTCAGTATGATATCAGTAATCCCCCCGGAAGGTTGTTTTCCTGAATAATTAAGCATAAGCAGTCACCTCTGTAAATTCCCATCACACACGAACAAAGCAGCCAGGAGCCGTCTCCACCTGGGTCCCCCTAAATGATAGTTCTTGACCTCAGGGGGTTGCTGTGTGTCTGTGGACTCCTCTGATTCTGGCAGGGACCTGCATGTGCTCTTCAGGCTTTCTTTGTTAACTTGACCGTGGTTCTTACGGATTTCGTTACAGTCAGCAAATAATAGATTGCTCTGGTTCTCTTTAAGAGGAGGTCGGAGCATGCTGGTCAGGATTCAGGAAACAAGCTGCAGCCGCTGAAAACCAGAACAAATTTCACTTACTGTCTTTCCACAGACCTTGAAGTGTAAATAACGCGCAGTGTGAGAAGTGCTGTGAAACAGGGTGTATAACCATTGTGACAAGTATGTAACGGGTATGTTTTGTTCACATGCCTAACATGTGCACATAAAAGACAGTGACTCCTGTATACTGCATGCAGATACGTACCATAAACTGTCAGGTGTTGTACGCCATAGCACACACACCAGAGGAACAGCGTATATGAGGACACTTGGCACATAATGTCTAAGCTTAACTGCTGGCTGAATGGCAGAGTAGAAGCTGTCAGCTGCTGTTAGCATGAGTTTTCTAGCCCGGTGGGTCCCCCGGCCCTTGAGCCCCAAACGAACACACAGACACTGTATTAATTATGAAGCTGTTGGCTGATGACTTGTGCTTCTTACTGGCTATCTCTGTCTTAACTATTAACCCATTTCCATCAATCTATGTACTGCCACGAGGCTGTGGCTTACCCGGTGATGACCAGCATAGTGTTACTCCTCTGGCAACATCTGGACTGGGCTTACTCTGCCTACCTTTCCCAGAATCCTCCTCCTCCTCCTCTCCTAGCCCCACCTATATTCCTGCCTGGCCAATCAGGTTTTTATTCATCAACCAACACAGAAGAACATCTCCCATCAAGCTGTTAGCAGCAAAGTGCTGAGAATGCAGTGAGGCTCCTGAGGGTCGGGGTCGGGCCGCCACTCCAGTCTTGTGCTCCAAACGTGAAGTCAGATCTGTATGGTGCAAAGGAGATCCCTGTCAGGTCTCAGCAAATAGTTTGTCATCAGAATACAAAACCCATAAGGGCTGCTTTCAAAGAAGCAGGGGTCCACAGAAGCACTCGTGTCTGGTTGTCTTTCAGCAACTAGCTTGGGGTGGTAGCCGGGAGGTCTGGTCTTTAAAGTTTTTTTCAGCCTGATTCCTGATAGATTTTTCACATGCTGAACCTAGAAGAGAAGCTGATATTTCAGTTGTGTGTGTTTCACCGGGAGGTCATTTCAGATAACGCAGTTCCTGAGCTGTGCCCAGAAGGAATGGCAGACATGGCAGACACACGCAGATCAGCGCAAATCGAGAAGAAGGGCAGACTGAAACTGAGTTTAGGGGTTCTCATGGGTCCCTCCTTCCCATCGACTTTTCCTCTGCCCCCTCAGTAGTGTGGCATCTCCAAGGGGTCGTCTCTGGCCGTAGGTGCCTTGTTGTGGAGTGGCTCAGAAGTTATTCACCGTTCTGATCCAAAGCCATGCTGGCTCATTAGTGGCCGCCTCTCCCCTCCCCTCCCTCCCCTCCCCTCCCCTCCCCCAGGTCTGTGGTGTGGACTGTCCTCCCCGCTATCCCCCCAGGTCTGTGATGTGGACTGTCCTCCCCCATCCCCCCAGGTCTGTGGTGTGGACTGTCCTCCCCGCTATCCCCCCAGGTCTGTGGTGTGGACTGTCCTTCCTGCTATCCCCCCAGGTCTGTGGTGTGGACTGTCCTCCCCCCATCCCCCCAGGTCTGTGGTGTGGACTGTCCTCCCCGCTATCCCCCCAGGTCTGTGGTGTGGACTGTCCTCCCCGCTATCCCCCCAGGTCTGTGGTGTGGACTGTCCTCCCCGCTATCTCCCCAGGTCTGTGATGTGGACTACTCTGAACCCCAGTGTGACCCAGCAGAACAAGCTGCACCGTGTTTCATCTCCCCTAGCAGGGTGCCCTCCAGGCTCCTGGGTGGGTCACATGGTGTAGACTTGCCTTCCTCAAGGCTGAGCTGTACTGGTGTGTGTATGTTGTCCTAATTCATCTCCTCAAGGCTTAGTGGTACGTGGTGTGTGTGTGTTGTCCTAATTCATCTCCTCAAGGCTTAGTGGTACGTGGTGTGTGTGTGTTGTCCTAATTCCTCTGCTGCTAGCCATTCGGTTTGTCTCTACATACTTGATATAGTTTTCTGAATCAACCAATCTGTATTTGAGGTGTAAATCTGCACAGAGATTATGATAAAGCCAATTTACAAGATCGTTTTTGTTTGGTTGGGTTTTTTTTCCTTTTCACAGCTGTATTTTCTATCTTAGGGTATTACGTAGCTACCATAGAAGCATCTGGTAAGAGGAAGAATGGCTTCTCTAGGGTCATCTGATCCCTGTGTGTCAAGTTAATATCTAAAAAGAGCTAATTACGAGTTAGGCCATTTGACCTGTGTTGGTCTGAATCTGTTTGAAGGCCTGTGAGGTACCTGTTTGTGAGGTGCAGCCTGATTTGACAGTGAAAGCCCAACAGAATCGGGCCCCATTCTCCTGGTTTTCTCCCTTGGTTATTGGTGCTATCGCATGGGATGCCCACGTGGTTGCCGTGAGTTAGTGATAGCACACAGCAGCTGGAGGCGTCGTGCATGGCTCCATGCTGTGTCAGTATCTGCTTCGAGCATTGTCTTCAGCACACTAATAAAATACCCAGAAGCCACCACTTGTGGGTAGGTGGGTTTTGTTTTGCTGATTGAGATTCAGGGTGGTGTTCTCGCTGTTGTTGACGGTGTGAGTTCTGAAACCGTATCCCACTCCCATTACTGATTTGCAGATCACCGCCCTGTTGTCATAGCAAAGGTACCACTTTCCATAGGCTTGCAGTTGTATTGGTGACGCTATGGGAACTTTTGAGTACCTGGGTATTTTGTCTTCACAAAGAAAATAGCCAAAGTGAAAGCAGCGAAGAGCCAACTTTGAAAAGTCGGTGAAAATAGCCAAAGTGAAAGCAGCCATTGCTAACAACTCTTTTTATGTCACTTCTGAAAATTTTAGACTCTTAGTTCTGTATTTCCTTCTTCCTCTAAAATAATATATTTACTGTTTCAAGTTAACTTTAATGTATTATCTTGGGACTCAGAAGTTGTTTGGAAAGAAAAGGACACCCAGTGCTTATAAGCCAACTTAGAGGAAATGTTTTTCATTTTGTTTTGTTTTAGCAAATTCCTATTATTCCTGTCTCTTTCCAAAAAGACTAAATTGGGACAACTCATCTCCACTTCTTTCTTTGATCAAAGAACACATTTTCAGGATAAAAAATTTTCCTTTCCTTTCTTCAGCTCTTTTTTTAAAAAAACCCAAGATCAAGCTTAAGATTTTCAACTCAGGCACCTCAGAAGCCTTGTAGACCTTGGTTGCCACTGGCCTTAAACACCATTCTATAGAATAACCTGGAAGTTTTGACGAGTCTTTGCTGGAATAAGTCTCCTGCGGAGCTAGATCTTGCTCTGTGGGTCCTTCCCAACGCCCTGAAAGTTTGAAATGAACACTTCTCCACCCCACATTTCCCCTCATGCTTTTTTCTTTCAAAGGACTGAGAAACATGGATTGGTGGACTCAAAATGTTGAATTTCTCAAATTAACTTAAAAATTTTCTCCCATAATGTAAAATACAGGTTACCATAAGAGGTAATCGCTTTTTCTAAGTGTCTTAATAAGAATTTTCATGATTAATCAGAAAATAAATTAACGAAACAGTTTGAGCATTTGAAATGATTACATTCGGCCCAATCATATTTTTAAAAAATTGCTCTGCAAAACCTGTCCATCTCAGGCAAAGGGAAAACAGATCAGTTTTGTAAGTTTGGTGTGAAGTAGAGAAGCTGTTGGCTTTAGCATAGCACTCCAGACGTTTTCCATAGGTTCTATGAGTCCTCTACTAGTCAGTGGGCTTAATTACCCGTGTTTACACAACCAGAAGGAACTGCACTCGAGAAGGCCCAGGAAGTTTAGGCCAGATGTCCACCCCGAGACTTGACCGTGTGCTGCAGGTACACCGACTGGCAACCGTGCTGTATCCTGCTGAATTTTAATTGTGCCTTCAGACTCCTGCAGTGCCTGCAATTCTAAGACCAGGGGATGGGCCAAATCCACCCCCTCCTGCTTGTCTGTGAAGTCCCAGCCTCGCTTCGCCGAGCAGCAGCAGAGCAGAGCACCTGGCGTACGTTATGCCTTCGATCGGGTGTGAAGGGCTCCCAGTCAGCCCTTGGATACTCCTGTCCTCTCACCATCACAGAACCAAACGGCTGGCATTCCCTGGTGCTCAGGAGACATCTTTCCCCTGCCATATAAACCGCCAGACCAACTTTATAGCAAACAGTCAGGAGTGGGCTTTGCTCTGTATAAAGGAGGCCGCAGGGGAATAAATGCAATGGGAAGACCACATCCCAGACACTTCTTGAGGGAGGAAGAATGTGAGGTCTGTAAGGACCAATAAGCCCTGGGCTGGACTGAAGAGTTCGAGCCCATCCCGTCTGCTCAGACCGTTACCCGTGAGCGTGCCGTGAGGGAGGGAGTGTGAATGGCATCCAGCAACCTGCAGCCACTCAGAGCCCGGCGGTGATTCCTAAAAATAAAACCCCATCCAAACGTAATAAAAGATTATTATTTTTTCCTCTTAAGAACCAGAATTATGGCCTGTGTTTTCAAAATCATCTCCAGGAAAATAGCCTTCACTTGGGAGGATTCTTTTAATTTAGACTTTTAGAAGGGAGTAAGAAACAATTATCTTTGCTTCAAAGGTTTCAGGCCAAGACATTGTCAGAATTACTAAA